ATTTTCTCCCCATTCATAGCATCTTGTGAAACAGGGCCCTGACCAGAACTGGAGCACATAAGCATCACAGTAGCTTAGCTTCAGTTTATTTTCTGATGTTATTGAACTTAGTAGGAACAAGTGCAAAGGCTAAGTTCTTGAGTAAAAATATTTCTGACAGCCCAAGGAAAAAACTGTCCCGTGCCATGAAAGTCTAGTGGGACCTCACTGGCAATGTTTGAGGACAGAACTAACTTTGTTCATGGAGACAAGAAATAGGAATGCCAGGCATCTGCTTGCTCCAGCTATCATCTTAATTTAGTTAAATTTAATCTTTAGAGGTGTATCAGGACCCCTTATAAAAGAAGAATGCAGATCAGAGCCCGGTATTTTTTTTTTCCCTGCTTTCTTTGTATAGTTATCTCCACCCAGAATCGGCTAGCTGCTTTGCAGGAAAAAGCCATGCCCGCTGCAAGTCTTGTTTCTATGTCTAGAAACGTGAAGGGAAGTCTTGGGAGAAAACAGTCGTTAGACAGCCGTTACTGGCAGCCTGAGCTGACTCTAATGACGGGTATGGAAGTCAGCAGGCACCAGTTGGCAAGTATTTCTGCAGCTCAAACTGGGTCACGTTGTCAGTGAGCTTTGTGTGGTTGTGTCACGTAGTGTAATTCATCTCAAAAGCTCCTGCTTTGGTTTTCCTCTTTGAGCAGATCGGTGTAGTCAGATCTGCCCTGCTGTTTACCTTTGAAAACTCCTGGTTTGTTTTTTCTCTGTTTGTCTCTTGTAGTTAAAGGAAGTGCCAGAGTTGCAAAGGGAGCTTCAGACCATGAAAATAGCCCTTGCAGAAGCCAACATGGACAAGGCTCGCCTTCTGCAGGAGATTAGGAAATACAATCCCCTCTTCCAGCTTTGACAATGAAGGCGCAGGCTGCAGCTGCTCAGGAGGAGCGGAGACCACCACCAGCACTAAGGCGGCTAGTTTGATTATATTGCTGCTAAACGGGTCAACCTCCTGGAGACTGATCGCCTCAAAGAATGGAAACCAACTGTGATTGCAAAATGAACTTGAAAGAGGGAGAAAGGAAGGAAGGAAGGCCTGGCTGAGCAACAGGGAAGGAACGAGGAGTTGTTACCTGTTTGCAGCCACTTTCCTCTGTCCTGGCAGTATGGTGCTGCCTCTGTCACTGAACCAGGGCAGTGGCCAGCCTACAAACAAAAGGTCAGAAGTTGGGGGGGAGACCCCATGTCTATTCATCCATACGGTGGCAATGACAGTGTGCTTTCATGGTAACGCCTAGAGATGATCTGTGTTGGGGTTTCTGCTTCTTTCAGCCTTGTGTTCTTGCCCAATCATGCACGCCAAAGAACACAGGAAGAGGAATGTAGTTACTTCGCCACATCAGGAGTGACAGAGAATAGGTATGGCAGAAAACATTGCTCAGAGCTCTGATGTGAAAGTATGTGTACTATCACATGAAAAACAGAAACAGGAGGTCGGTGGGTGTTGGGGGATGCAGAAGGGATTTCCCTCCTGTGGAGTAAGGGGGCTACAGCTCACTATTCCCTCAAGAACAGCGTCAGGATAGCAAAGAAAGTCCTTCAGACTTCTTTTTCCACCAGTAATTTGTTGTGTCAAGACAGAATCGGTGGTGTATTAGACTTAGTCTAGTTCATTCTCACTTAATCCCGCAACGTTTGGCTTTATTGATGCAGAAACCCAAAGGAATTAATTTATTTCATGACAAAGTACTGTTTAAACTTTCTTTAATTTTACTGTCGGAGAACAGGGGTGAAGGAATTTGGTTAAGTCACAGAATGAGATGACCTGTGCGTTTTCTTTGGGATGCACGCTGTCCTCAAACCATTGTATGCCAGAGTTTCACCAGTGGAGAGCTGGCCGCACAAGAAAATAGCTGTCTGCGTTCCTGCACGGTCGTGTATTTTTATTAGCACTGAGCTCATGCCTGATCTTAAATGTCTTTTAACAGAGATGCTGGTATGTAGGTCAGGAAGAGGGTGCTGACCAGGCCCCCTTGGGTGGAGGCTGACACTATTAACTGCTCACTATGGGGTGGAGATGAAACAGTAGCTGCTGGGTTGAGCATGGTTTGTATTCTCGCCTTTTCTGGAGCTGCTTCCTTGAAGAGGAAGAAGTCTCTGTGGTCAGTGACTGATTTAATTTATAAAGAAATAGTCTCTACAAGTGTGGAGGGGAAAAAAAGAAAACCCTAGTAAAATATGAAGTAAACGCTAATTTTAAAAAGGAAAAAAAGGAAATGTCATTTATGAACTGAAGAATCAAATTCACTCCTGGTACGTGGTTTCTTTGCTCTGCTAGTCCGGGCAATACATGGTCGATGTGCTGAAGAAGGAAGCAGCCGTAAGGGGCAGTTGTAAAGGGAGGAGCTGTTCCGGAGGAGAATTTGCTCTGTGTTCTGATACAGAAAGGGGTGACTTTCAGCCCCCTCTGTGTTATGGATGAATGCCTGTTCCCTCCCCTGTTATACACAGCATCTTTACTGTGTGCAGAGTTTGTTGGATTTTATCTTATTTCAAACTTTGATTTGGATTTTTCCAGATGCATTTTGTGTTTTGTGTAAATGTACCATTTCTGATGCACAGGCTCTTCAGTGCATGTAAAACAGGTAGTGATTGCCACACACTAAGTGCTAGGAGAAGTGACAGATTATGCGCGATTCTCCTTTATTAATCGGATGAAAACTTCACTTGTCTATAAAGGTTAGATAACCCTTATTGTGTTTTTCAGCTGAACACATTCCCCAAAACATTCATCTACTGGATTTTTTTCTGTTTTTTTTCTATGTAAGCATTACTCCACTGAAATTAGTTTAGCTGAAGTAACACAAGACTTTAATCCTGCTCACTAGGCAAGGAGCAGCCTCTGATTTACAAGCCATGATGAGTTGAGGCCTGGAAACTACACAAAAGAAAGCAAATAACTTGGGAGTTAAGTTTGTTTTTCCTACCGTGCTCCTATATGCTTGTCCCTTTGCCCAGGTCTGGAGCTGTTGAACACTTCCCCTTAAGAGGCACTCCTGAGATCATTTTAGTTCTTCTCTAGCTCTAGGGGAAACAGGGACATATTTACAGCGCGAGGCTGGATGTGGAGGCACTGCTCTCTGTGGTTTGCGGGGAGCCAAGAGTGAATTCCTTGTGGTCGTTAGCTTTCACTTTGAAAAAAGAGGGTATAGAAGAGAGGGATGGTGATTAAAACAACTGTCACTCTTAAGATGATCATCTTAATTCCCTGTTTTAGTCCATTAGACTGAAGGAAGCTTTGAGTAACAGTTGTTGGAATTAGTCCTTGCATGCTAGGTTTGAGCAGCCAGCCTTGGAGCAGGCTGTACTGGTGGAGTCCAGTATTTCTGCCAGGATCTGACTGACCAGTGCCTACAACCAGACATGACAGTGGCAGCAAGAGCCTGACCTTCCTTCTAGAACCTCTGGAAGCAGGCAGCCATAAATGAATTAACAGGAGGGGTACTTGCCTTTGGCAGAAGCATGGGAGCTGACCTGCAGGAGGCTTCACGCTCACCACCCACTTAGCCTGGGCTAGCTCTGATGTTTGGATGCTGTGACTGCTGCCATTTGCTTTCCCTCCTCCACGGGAGAGGATGACTCCTCCTCGTTCCTGTTAGACGACCTGGCTGTTTTCTCTGGAGCACGTTCTGTGACCCATCCCCTGCTCAGCGCAGCCGTTGACAGGATAGATTTGTGGTGCTGCCTGTGATGGAAAGTGTGCTAGAGCAGCCCGTCAGGCCTGCTCTCAAGAGGAAAATGCACTTTAACTTTTTAAGCGTCAGCGGGCATTTCCTTCGCCAATACTGCCTCGTGCGTAGAAGAATTCAGAAGTAAAAGCAGGGGTTCTGAAATGCAAGTCATCTTCCGTAGTAAATAAGACTCTTGCTGTGAGTTCTCATAGCAAGAGAGAACGGAGGTAACAAAGCATCTAGGTATCTAGACTTGCTGTGAAACAAACCTGTATGCGAACAGCTCACTGTAAGTACCATTTTGAACTGCACAAAGCCAACACAAGCAGGAGTTGAGCTTTGTTTGGTCAAACCTACATGCTTCTGTGCTTGCTCCCTCTTCCTGTGTGAAGCCAGAAATATAGGAATGCTTGCCTTGGTGGAATGCAATGGTATTCTTACTTTTTATTCACTAATTGCTTGAAAATGGGAGGTTTCTTTCTTCGCTTTCAAATTTCCATGACTTTCTGTTTGAGTAGGTGTCCAGCTTCATCTCCAGCCAGCTTGGGAAACAAGTAGGGTGCAGAGAGTTTCCTCAGACAGGGTGCCTACTTGCTGTGTCACACAGCTCCTTACCACTCCTTCCCACGTGTGCAGACTGAACAGAGCTGGGGCCAAGCTGTTTACAGCAAATTTCTTGCTCCGGCAATTCAAGTCAGCCGGTTTTGTTTAAGAATTAAAGCACTTCCATTGTTTTAAGTACCAGTAAAAAGTACTGTAAAACAAAATCCACGTCTGTTCTACAGGGCGTACGTGTGGGAGGACAGAAACTCCCCTGTCTCCACTGATGATGATGAGCAAAGTTTACTTTGTAGAGCCTTTGACTTAAGGACTCTTTCTATGTTATGATGAGAGCCAACTTAATCCTTTGTGTAACTATACCACAGTTACCCTAGGAAGAGCACATGGCCTCAACATCTTTTACATTTAGTTAGAAGCAGCATGCTCAGAGGGGACTACTGTATGTACAGGTGGGTAATGTGCAAGTCTGAACTTGAATTTGAGTTTTCGGCAGTATTGGAACTTTGTTGCAGTATATTTCCACTCATGCATTTATTGGTTCTATGAACCGTGAAAAGAAATTAAACTTGTTAACCTCCTTACAGGCTTATGCCTTTTTTCCCCCCCTTCCCCTTCCTCACTGTACTGTTTTCTAGACGGCTCCATAAAACTGGCTTTGGGAAGAGCAGCCGCGTGATGACTTCAGAAGCATGGGCTTTCAGCACGCGTTCCCTTGCTTATGCTAATGGAACAACACATGCCTGAGGCAAGGCGAAGCTTCAGGAGCGTGTCAGGGTTGGTTGAGACAGATCATCACGTTGCACTCCCCCTCCTTTGAATCACACAAACACCATTACACAACTAGTATTTCCCAGCAAGACTAAGAATACAATAACAAGTTTAATGTACAAAAAAAAAGACACTTCTGTACATAGACACCGCTACATCTGTGCCAGCAGAAAGCATGATCCTGATGAGTAAATACACTGAAGACCTTGAACGTTCCTACCCCTGCTCTGTTGAAGCAGGGGAGCCCAAGGCTCCAGGTCAGGGATTTGGCTCCCGCCCGCTTCTGCGTAGTGCTGGGATGACAAGCCAGACTTCAGCAGTGACAGCAGGAAGCCTCCCTGCAGTCACTTAAGTCTGTACACAACGCTCCTGAGGCAGCTTCGGTCCCATAGCTCTGCTGTAACTGTTGTGAGGTTCACGACAGGAAGCTTGTTTTAACTTCTGTCTCCTCTTGCTGCTCTTGGGACACTTCAGTGGAAGATGATCTTCTTATATTTGGAATTGGGGATCTGTCCTCGTGACTTGAGCCTCCTGACCGCCTCTCGCATGTGTTTGGGCTGCAGAGGTGGCAGCTCCCCCCACTTCTCGCACACATCCAGTGCTAAACAACAAAAACCAAGGAGTTCACATGAGCAGGACAGCTAAGCTTGGCCAGTCTCTTGCTGTTTGAGCTTTAATTCTAAAGGCAACAGGTAACACTTTCACCCAGGGTTTACAGCTCGCGTTTTGTTAATACACAAGAATGAAACCGCTTTGTGTGCTTCTCTTTGAAAGAAAAGTGAGTCGTAGGGGCATCAATACCGGACCGCAACAAACCACTTTTTAAACCACTCCAGCTACTACAGAACACGCTGCTTTGAGTCATGCAAGAACTTACGATCTTAAACCTGCTCTAAAGCCACCCCTCGGTTGGGTGGTGTGTTTTGGGGTTGTGTACAGCGGCACCAGGAAGGTACAGTGAACTTACAGGCCAGTTTCTTTTCTATCATTTACAGTATCATTCACGCCTCCTGCCAAGGCCGTGCAGCAATTATTGACAACAGTGAAGCTGCTTATCCAAACCGCCTCAGGCAACACAGCGCTGCAGAGACAGCAGCAGTAAAGCTGCATCACCCCGGTAACGGTGATCCCGGCACACATAGGCCACGTGTTGCGTGACAAGTCTATACGAACTGGTTGGCATCAAAACCAGTATCGCCTCCTCCGGCCCGAGCAGAGCAGGGAAACAGCTGAGTCAGCCCCCCCCCCCCCGGGTCCCTCTGCTCATCCCATAAAGGAAGAATCTTGCAGGTTAAGAGGCTTAAATAACTCATTTCCCTCTGGGCTGAATTTGTCCACGGCAGCATTAACAAAAGATCCTTACTGCCCCACTGCAGCCTGCTCACAGGCCGACTTACAGGGCAAGAGCTTCTACGTTATCCTCCGTAGGGAGGATAAAACAGGAGGTCACTGGTCACCAGCCTCTGCTGACTCACGGGCAGCGATACGATAGGATTAGAGAGGACTACGGGCAGCGCCACGCTTCACCCCTCTCCTGGCTTAGCTCTTAGCTGCAGCGTTCTGCTGCTGCTGGAAGGTCAGAGGGCCCCGGGGGACAGCAAGACCGGGAACCACGAGACGTCCGGTCTTGTTCCACGTCCTTCTGCTCTGCTTTAAGCAACGGATTTACCCCGTGTTCTTAACCGTTTACTCAACGTTTGCCACTCACCTTCCTCCACCACCTCCCCAACGAAGACCTTGGAAATGCCAGACATGGCGATAACCACGTTCTGAGAGACAGAGGTGCCGGTGATGGACTGGATCAGCTGCACAAGAGGGACAGAAGAGTCAGTCGAGCGAGGTACACACCGCAACGGTGAAACGTTTTAACTCGTATTTAGCAGTTTGAGCCTGTCAAATATCAACCAACAGCTAATGAAATGCATAGAACTGATCTTTAAGAATGAGGTCCTACAGCTTTGGGCACGTGCTGGCTGTCAAGCTTTTAGCTTACCCTCTTTCAGCTGCAGGCCCTCTACCAGGAATTACTTTTTCCCCTTGCCCCACGCCCGC